TTCAGCCAGATGTGGGAACGGTCAGTCCTGGCATGGACTGGGCAGCCCAGGAGGGCAGAGGGTGACCCATGTCCGGGCCCAATCAACCACTGTGGAGATGGGTCCTCATGTGAGGTGACAAGGGGCTGGGTGACATCCAAGTCCCCTCCCACCTGAGTTCTCACTGGGGGCTGTATCCCTGCCCCAACAGACCTGGGATGAGGGTGTGTCATAGGAAGCCCCCAGCTAGTTCGAAACCTGGGGACAGTCCCAGGAGCCACCTGCCATGCTCTGACAGCTTCCCATGCCAGGTGGCACACACCCCTCCCTCTGGGATCAGCACACTACAGGCGTGTCCTCAGTGTCAGACCACGGGGCCACACAGAGATCCTGAGGACTCCAGAGACCCAGGCAGGTAGGACCCGGCCCGGAAAGGCCTGCATGGGCTCAGTGGAGACACTGACCACATCTGTTTTCCTTTCAGCCAAACCCGAGCAAGGGTCCTCAGCAGCCAGGCCTATGCAGGCTTCACGTGGCAGGAAGACCCTCTGCAAGGGGGACAGGCAGACCCCTCCAGGCCCACCAGCCCGGTTCCAGTGGCCCATTTGGTCAGCTTCCCCGCCATGGGCACCTTGTTCTTCTACACCCTGTCCCGGTGGGGCTGTCCGGGAAGACACCTACCCTGTGGGCACTCAGGGTGTGCCCAGCCCGGCCCCAGCTCAGGGAAGACCTCAGGACTCCTGGAGATTCCTGGAGTGGAACTCGATGCCCCGGCTCCCAATGGACCTGGATGTAGGGGGCCCTTGGTTCCCCCATTATGATTTCGAACAGAGCTGCTGGGTTTGTGTCCCTTCTGAATGTGTCCTGGACAGCCCCGGGACTGTGGGACAGGGCCAGCTCGAGAAGCCCGCGGGGACCCTGACACCAGGCCCTGCCCAGGCCCATCAGGACTGAGGGAGGCCAGGAGATATCCCACTGCAACAGGGCACCCTATCTACAGACAAGAGCCTTGCACCCAATTTCTAGAATGGCACCGTATCCCAGGTAGACCAGCTGGCCACCTGCTGGCAGGCGGAACACCCTGCGGAGGGGGTGAGATTGGCTTTCACTGCACTGAGCCACACTGTGGACATGGACTTCCAGCCCTGCACTGCACCCAGCACTGATTCCAACCAGGACACCCCCTTCACAGCTAGGGACGAGAAGCAGCGCGCTCCCACCTCAGGGCCTTGCCTCTGCTCCTCTACTTGGAAAGTTCTCAGTTCCCTCCAGGCTTCTAGAAGCATCTGGGGCAGGGCTCATGGCTGGATAACTTCCCGAGGCTTAACAACCCAAGAAAGCTTCACATCCTCGTTTTATTTTTTATTAAACTTATGAAAATTTATTAAGAAAGTGTGCAGCTCGAAAGACCTTCACAGATGGAACACACCAGCCCCCAGATCACAAAGCCAAGCATGCCCAGCCCCTCCCAGCACCCCCAGCCCCGTGACCAGCGTTCTGAATTCTGACGACACCGTGAGCCTGCCTTTGTACTTCACACTCATGGAAGGATAACCACATTCATGTTTTAAAATAAATGTTTCCTGTTGAAATGATTTTAGATATAAAGATTGAAAAGACACTACAGTGACCTCCTACACCTTCCATCCAGCTGCCCCTAATAATGACGTTTTGCAGTCCCATGGCACATAAGAAATTTAGGCCGGGTGTGGTGGCTCACACCTGTAATCCCAGCAATTTAAGAGGTTGAGGCAGGAGGTTCAGGTTCACTTGAGTCTAGAAGTCTGGGACCAGCCTGGGAAACACAGGTGGACCCTGTCTCTAGAGAAAAGTCAAAGAAATTACCCAGGCATGGTGGCGTGTGCCTATGGTCCCACCTAGTCAGGAGGCTGAGGCAGGACTGCTGGAGTCCGTGAGTTCCAGGAAGCGGTGAGCCATGACTGCACCACTGCACTCCAGCCTGGGTGACCGAGTGAGACTTTATCTGTTAAAAAAAAAAAAAGAAATTTAACGTGAGTACAATCCTATTAACTAAATAATAATGTGAACTATTATCTAAGGTTATTAAGGCTGGAATTATCCCATTTTTGCCTAACTTCTCATGCCTGTTCCAAGATCCCACCTCGGACTCACCCTCTGCCTTCAGCTCATGTCTCCTCAGCTTCCTCCAGGTGGTTCAGCAAACACACACCTGGGCTGAATGGTAGAGCTGATTGCTCGTACACAAGGGGAGACCTGTGGGCAGGAGTTTTCAAACTTACACAGCAAATGAGTTTTCCATGGTGTTCTGGAGAGCACTCTTTGAGAAACACTTTGACAGTGAATCCAGGCCCCAGTATCCATCAGCTGCTCTAGTGAATTTTGTGGAAGCTCAGTGAACACCTGCTCTGCAGGGTGCATGTGAAAGGGGAGAGGATGAGTAAGCTGCAGATAAAGAAGACAGGACACAGGGGGTCTGTCGAAGCTCTATCCCCTGCCTTCAGCACTGATGGATCAAATCCAACTCTGATGGAATGGTGGTCACATTCTGGGCCAGCCCTGGGCTCTGAGGATCTGACAGTGAATGACACAGAGCCAGGCCTTGCCCTTGGGGGAGCTCTCCAGCGTACACCTCCCTCTACCCTCCCGGCGCCCTGCAAAGCAGGCATCAATGTCATTGTTAATGCACAGAGGAGGAACCTGATGGTTAGACAGGTTGATGGGTTTTCCAGTGTCACATGGCTTCTGACCTAGTTGGCAAGGACTGCAGAGTAATGTCAGGGCCAGGGCCTGGTGCATCCTGGTGATGTCACCACAGAGCAAACACGAGTTTGCTGGCTGGGTGGATTCTTGTTAACAGAAAGATACATGGATTAAAGGCAAATAGGAGCGAGATCCCTGGCATGGAAACAGGAAGAAGTCTGGCTGCTGGCTCTGTTTGGGAGTTTGTTTATTTATTCTATAAAACAGTTTTACTGATAGTAGTTCTCATACCATACAACTCACCCATTTAAAGTGGACACAATCTAGTGCTTTTTGCTCCATTCACAGAACTGTGTGACCATCATCATAAGGAATTTTAGAACATTTTCATCACCCAGAAAAGAAATGCCGTGCCCCTTAGGCAGTCACTCTCCCATGCCCGCCCTCTTCTTTTTAGTCCTAGGCAACCACTAATCTACTTTATGGTTTGCCTGTTCTGGACATTTCATACAAAGCAAATAATATAATATAAGGTGTTTTCTGACAGGCTTCTTTTACTTAAGCATAATGTTTTCAAGGTTCATCCACGTTGTAACATGAATCAGTACTTCTTTCTTTTCATCACCAAATAATATTCCATTGTATGCATATAACAGTTTTTTTATATTCATTAGTTGATAGACATTTAGGCTGTTTCCACTTTTTGGCTATTTTGAATAATGCTCTTCTGAACATTTCTGTGGACATATGTTCCGTTTCTCTTGGGTGTATACGTAGGAGTGGAATTGCTGGTCATGTCGTAACTCTGTGTTTCACCTTTGGAGGAACTGCCAGACTATTTTCCAAAGTGACTGCACCATTTGATATTCCCACCAGCAGGGCAGGAAGGTCTCAATTCCTCTCACCCTCACCAACCCTTGTTTTATTTCTTTCCCAGTTAATCCTTTTATTTCACTTAAAACATTTTAATTTTAGATTGGGGGTACATTCACAGGTTTGTTACAAGGGTACATTGTGTGATGCTGGGGTTTGGGTTTCTATTGATCCCATCACCAGATAGTGAACATAGTGCCCAATAGAAAGTTTCTCAGCCCTTGCCCTGCCACCCTCCTTTTGGAGTCCCCGGTGTCTATTGCTCCCATCATTGTGTCTGACCAACATTTGTTATCTGTTGCTCTGACTGCAGCCATCCTAGTGAGTGTGGACTGGTATCTCACTGTGGTTTTGATTTGCATTTTCCTGATGACAATGATATTTAGCATCTTCTGATGTGCTTATTGGAAATTTGTATATGTTTTTTGAAGAAATGTCTATTCAAGTCCTTTGTCCAATTCTAACTGGGTATTTGTTGTTTTATTGTTGACTATAAGAATTCTGTATATATTCTAGTGGGGTGTCTTATTTTAATCTTTTTGAAATTACTGTTTTCTCAGTCATACACTCTCTAGAGCAGCAGTATGTTTGAATCTAAAGAACACACATAGGTGAGTTTATCAGGAGGTAAAAGTGCTTGCAAACTGGTACGATATTGTTACATTAAGTCTGCAGATTGTTTTTGGTAATAAGGACATTTTAATAATAGTAATTCTTCAAATCCATGAACATGGGATATCTTTCCATTTATCTGTGCCCTCTTTAATTTCTTTTATTAGTGTTTTATATGTTTCAATAATTCTGTATCTTGATTGTAGTGGTGGTTACACACATCTACATATGTGATACATACACCAAATGCTGATTTTGACATGATACTCTGATAATGTGAGATGTGACTATTGGGGGAAACTGGGTGAAGATATTCAGTTCTCAAGATCCACATTGGGCCTGATCCAGCCCCTGTACAGGCTCTCAGATGGTGTATAATTCTACTTCCTGTGAAAGAGACAGACAGAGGGACCAGGCCCTGGGAAGAAGGGTGGGTTTGGCCCTGAAAAGGGGATTGGTGAGAGTAGGAGGGAGGGGACCCAGAAGGTGTGCTCTGTTTATTAGACACCTTTGTTTGTTTCCATATCTTGCCCACTGTCTACAGACTTATAATGAGTAACTAAATGAATGACATCAAAATCTGAGCCCTTGGTGTAAAACAGGCACTTTTCTTCAGTTCCAAAGTGCCAAAACCCATCCAATTGCCTCTGGACCCTGGTCCTCTGGAAGCTGGAAGGAGGATAATCATGCTTTTCCTAGAAGCTCCAGGCAAGCTGCCAGTGTTTGGGGCATTTCATCCCTGCAGCCCTTGCCTGGGCTGGACCTGCTGCCCCAGGTACGTGTAGCCCTGGTACTAACCCCAGGTACTGTACCCCAGGTACAAGTTAGCCCTGAAGCTTCCTGATGCAAGCCACTGAACGCTCAACTCAAAATGGCTTGAGCAATAATGAAAAGTATCCTTTCACATAAGAGGAATTCTGGAGGTCAGGCAGTTCCAGCGTTGGTTCATTTCCCAGCAAAATTTGGTCATCAAGTACTCAAATTCTTTCTACCTCATCTTCAGTGGATTGGCTATCCAGCTTTTCATATTTGCCAATCTGATACATAAAAATGGTATGTAATAAACAAGATATGTAAAAAATGGCATGTGATAATGTAAAAAATGGCATGTGATAAACAAGACACAAGTTTACTGACATTCTGGAGTAGTCACTAGTAGGCAGGGTTCTGAGAAAATACTTGGACTCTTCTTGCCCCAGAAAGTGTATCCACCAAATCAACTCCTGGGGTCTCCAAACAGACTGGATTAAAAATGGAAAATAGCAAAGTATCTTGGCAGAGAATTCTGTCTGACTTAGTCAGATACAAGATTTTTTTTTTTAAGTTCTTGTCTGGTTTCCTAAAACAAATTCTGATAAACACCCCTAAGAATCCAAAGTCAATTGAACACAGAAAGTTTAAGGCAAACGAATTTCCCTACATCCTGCCAGGAAGAGGAATGTTTACAATCTCTGCACATGGCCTAACACAGCTCCCCTAAGAACAGGCTTTCCTTGTTTCAATTTCCATTAAAAGAGGAGCATAAGTACTTATTTATTTACTTATTTATTTACTTATTTATTGAGACAGAGTCTTGCTCTGTTGCTCAGGCTGGATCTTGGGTCATTGAAGCCTCTGCCTCCCGGGCTCAAGTGATTCTCACGCCTCAGCCTCCAAGTAGCTGGGATTACAGGTGAACACCACCATGACCGGCTAATGTTTGTATTTTTAGTAGAGATAGGGCCTCACTATGTTGGCCAGGTTGGTCTTGAACTCCTAGCCTTAAGGGATCTGCCTACCTCGGCCTCCCAAAGTGCTCACGCCTGTAATCCCAGTCTCTACTAAAAATACAAAAATTAGCCAGGTATGGTGGCATGTGCCTGTAGTCCCAGCTACTCGGGAGGCTGAGGCAGAAGAATCGCTTGAACCCGGTAGGTGGAGGTTGTAGTGAGCTGAGATGGCGCCACTGCACTCCAGCCTGGGTGATACAAGACCCTGTCTCAAAAAAAATAAATAAATAAAAATTATTTTATATTTGAGAGGGTCCCAGTTTAAATGCCATTTACTACCCACAGTCTTTAAATTTCCTTCCTTCTTTCCTTTTTTTCTTCTTCCCCGGTAACAAGCTGAGAGATTTAAGTTTCTTGACAAAGAAAATTATTAGGATTTTTTTTTCTTTTTCTTTTTTTTTTTTTTTTTTTTTTGGTGTGTAAACGTTGAGGGTGAAATGAGTGGATGAATGGTAGTGGAATTATCCCAAATCAGTAGTTGCATCATCAGACAAGCCACTGAAAAATAAGAGGAATCTATCACTTGCTGGTTCCTTGTGTGTTATGGATCCAGTAACTTTTGGCTATATTTCAATACAGGAAATGGGAAGAACTCTAAGGCATTCCCCAGATGTTCTATAAAATGTGCGCATTAAAACATATGACACTGGCTTTTCCAG